CGAGGGGCATCTTGCTGGGGCTCCCGAAGTCCACGCGCTCATCAGAGCAAACATTGGCAGGGAGCCATTCGGAGTCGGTCCAGTTTCTCTGAGTCATGGGGACATCTTGGATGCCCCCCATCTGCACAGATGCTCCTGCAACTTGACAAGCACGCCTAAACCTGGTCTTAGCACTGTCAACCGACGGATGTAAGGCCGCTCCAAGCTTCGCGAATAGATCCGCGTGCTTGCTGCCCTCACTTTCACAATGGGCGGAGCGGCCTTCGACAATATCATTGAAACCAGCGTGGCCCGAGGTCCTGCGCGCAGTCAGGCCATCCTCGAAAACGCGCCATACTCTCGACCACAGGTGGGCCCTGGGGGTGCCAGAGCTGACCGAGGGCCAACGGCCCCAGACACAACCTAGAACCCCCTCGCAGTCTGTCCAGACCTGGAAGTTGCCCTCGGCGAGGCCAGCGAGCATGCAACAAGTGCATAGTCCTCGCCATCGCGAGCCTGCTGCTTGGGCGCGCAGTCCAAAGGGGCCGCCCCGCACGCAGCAGCAAGGAGCTCACCAGCGGGCCCAGACGTGCATAACGACCACCCCGCGCGGCGAGATCTGGCGGAGATGGGGTTGAGAGCCGAACGGCCACTAAAGATAAAGCCACTCAGCTTGCCGCCGTGGGGGCGGCTGAACCAATGGATGCGGCGCTGGCTGGCCATGAGCGGCGGGGGCGTCGCACCTCTAGGATCGGCGAGGACTCCTGCGGCAAAATTCTCTAGATCCTGTGGCCAGCCTCGCGCGTTCAGCACTGCCTCGTGCACCTGCCTCGGGAGGGTCTCGCGCCCCCCCGCGTCGAAGGCTGGACATGCAAACCTTCTGTGGCACAATGTGCCTGGAGCTCCTTGGTAGAGTTGGCAGACTTCAGAATCGCGAATGCGGTGCCCGCAGAGACGTTTGCGGGCCCAGGTCCCCAGGGCAGAAAGGTTACGAACAAAACTCTGATGGTGCTGGTGCCAAACCTCAGTCGTAGCACCCTCCACCATGGCCCTGGCGCCCCCCCGCCAGACGGGTCTGCGCCACGCACTGTTGCGGTTGGGGCGTCGCATCAGGGCCTTTACGTCCGCCCTGGCGCCCGCGCCATCCACTGCGCAAGCGCGCGGCCAAGGGCGCCGCGGCCGAGAGGTCCACAATGTCGCCGGCAGCCTTGCGGCAGTGCCTAGCTGACTCGGGTGCCCAGCCAATCTCTGCTAGGGTAAGAAGTAAAGCGCGCGCAGGCGAGGTAGCAGAGGCCCGCGGCGCATTAGTTTTTTATAATCAAAAAATCGTCGCAGCCGCTTGGCACGCTGTTTGGGCCGCGCCCAGCGAAGGCGACCCACCCCAAACAGCGCTAGCCCACTGGTGCACTGCGCTGCCGCGGTAGAAGAAGCAGGGCTTCGTCTCGCATCCAACCCCATAGGATCTCACGCGGAAAGATGTCAGCGCCCCAGCTACGGCATGCACCTGCTGCCGAATCAGCCCAGCCACTGCAGCGCCCCATAGGGCACATGCCTGAGGCCCGGCCCTGCGTGCCCCAGCAGCGTTGGCTCCTGCGAGCTTAAAAGTCCACCAAGCTCAGGAGCACGACGCCCAGCTTTCCTGAGCAGCTTGAGGGCCGCAGGGTTCCTCCTAGCTCTCTCGGCCACGATGTCGCAGCCCAGGGGCATCGGCATATCCTGACAGGGGAACTTGAGGACCCGCCACACAGTGGAGAGGCCCTCGGTGATCTCCTTGCACGCGGCGATGGGGTGAGTTTTCTTCCGACATTCCAAACTCCAGCTCGTCGAACCCCTTCTTGAGTGCCCAACCTGCTGAGCCCAAATTATCAAACATATTTTGCTGAGCCTAGCACCTGCAGTGACACGTCATCCACCGCGTTGCGGATGTGCAAGGAAGGAAACGCCGTGGCCAGCCGCGCAGCATTGTCTTTGTCTACATTCGCGAAGCACGCGGCCAGGACGCAGCCGGCGAGAATCGTGCCCGCGACTGTAAACAGATCCGAACATTCACCAGCAAAAGTGGATACTCGCGGCCCCGTGTACGAATATACGGCCGAGTGGGTAAGACCGAGGTGGAAGCCGCTCTTCTCGGCTTCATCAAAGAGAATGCCTGGTGCCACAGGCTCGTCAAACTTCGCAAGACCCGCGCAATGCGTGGAAGGCCCAAAACGCGCGAGTCGGGCGCATTCGCTGAGCATCGCACGCTGCCGGTCTGCTCGGTCACACTCCTTGTCGCGAGAGCACCAGAAATAATAAATACAAACATACTAATACACAACATGAGCGCGGTGGCCCATCTCCCAGGCACGCGGCGCCCCTCGCCTTCCCCAGGCGAGGAAGAAGGGAAAGGATCAGAGCAAGTGGTCGCAGTCCAGCACCTTCTGGCTTACCCTGGAAGACCATCGCGGGGTACTTCACGGACAATGTGCTGGGCCGGGTCTCCCAGGCGATCATGGCATCGATCATGCGGTCGATGCACAACCCAGGCAAACATAACCAGGGGCGCGGGTTCCAACAATCCACCCCGAGGCCGCCTTCTTGCTTGGACTCCCCCAAAGCCCATTTGACAATTTGAAAAGATGGCCTCGGGAGCGCCGCAAAGGCACGTGCGCTGGCAACTTGGGCCTCAGCGCGGAACGAATGGTGGCGCCGCCAAAATTTGTTCCACTCGGCGAGCAGCGCCTCGACAGCATAATCCCCTTTGAGCCCTCGGCCCACCTTGGCCAGCGGTCCTACGGCGACATTCTTGTCCCTGGAGAAGGCGCGGGCAGCCTTGGCGGCCTTAGTGGCCGCTTCCTTAGCCCGCGCCTGCCACCTAGACCAGCGAGCGCGCGAGGCCCAGGCAGCAAGGTGCTCGCGGGTGGGGCGAGCGGCGGGGAGAACGTAGCCGATCCCACAGCCGCCGGCAGCTACAATGGCCTCGATCATAGCAGCGATCGAAGGAGCAATCACAGGAAACTGAGGCTGCAGCAGTGACTCGTCTAGCCGAAGCAATCCGCCTCGAACTTCAATCCAAAGAGGCGTGCCAGCGCAAAAATCAATAATTACAAAGGTCTGCCTTGCTCAGCAGGGCCACCAGGGAGCGCCAGGCACGCAATTGCGGAGTAGAGTTGGAGAACCATCTCAACCTCAAGACGGCCTCCACCGACAAAGCACGTCTGCTAAACCCGACAGATCTCCCAACATACCTATCACGGTCTTCCCAAATATAGATCGAAGATCCTGCAAAGCTCAGGCCCCGTGCCAGTCACCCATTGGTCAGAAGACCCCCGAAGTCTTACTCGACGATCTTGCCTGCGTTCAAAAACCAAGTTCCGTTTTCGGGCGCTCTAAGGCATCCAACGGGCATCTCGGCAGGGAGTCTCTCCCAAGTACATCTCAAATGCGCAGGGGTGGACAGCGATACCCCCCGTCAACCAGTGCTCCACTGGAGAGTGAAGCGAAATCGGTGCATCGATCAGTGCGCAGATCTTGCCAACGCAAGACGACAAGCCCTGCGACAAGATGAAACATCAAAATTAGCACCTAAACCCGATGAGCACGTGGCTTGGTCAGCAGCCACCACCACAGCTCCAACGCGGGAGCACCAGTCCCTGGGCCCGTTGCACTTCGGGCCCACGTTGGCATCGCATCCAATCGCCCATGGGACAATCAGGTTTTCAAAATATCGGCCCAACGATGGCATCGTTCCAGCACTGGCCCCCGCGACCCAGATGCTGCGGTGGAAAAAATCGACATCCAGAGCAGGCCCCTGGGAACTACAGTTTGAACGTGACGTGCCAAGAGTCTCCCAGAGGCCTCAGGTTGCTCGCTGATCTCCCGTGCCTGGATCGTGACCTGGTCGATGTGTCGGAGACCTCCTGCCAGGACACCAGCAGAGTTGGCCAGCGCGCGCCCTCCAGTCTGTGCAGCTGGGCAGAAGTCAGCTGACATCCCCCCTGCCCTCAAAGTCCCGACGTGCTCGGCAATGGTGCCCAGGTCCGCAGCGCGAGTCTCATGTCCAGCGAAGAACTGGGGCTGGGGCCCATCAAGGTCTTCATCCATTCTCCAGTCCAGGGCGGCCCCCCAGAAAACCCAACAGTCGGCGCCACATTTGGAGGCTTTATCCCTCTTGGTCCTGCAACGCGTTCCGGGCGCAGCCGACGGCGCTGTCCTAGAATCAGGGGCGGGCGCAGACACTGGAGCTGACGGGGCCACCCTCCTGCACTCAGGCTTCGATGCATCCACGGGCCGATGTGCGCCGTCATGCGGGGCGCTACGACGCCCCTGCAGCGATCCCCCGCAGTGGGGGACTTCCCACGGATTCAAGGGCCCAACGCACCCAAGTCTCGTAGGTGCCGCTGCCACTGCGGGGCCCCCACTATCTCAGGAGCCAAGAGTGCGGACCCTATCGCCATGGGAGCACCAGTCCGCCTGGCAGCCGTACTTCTCGAACTGGAGGTGCCGTCTAGACTTGCGCGCACATGCCGGGGCTGCGCCTGGCGTCCTGGAACAGCAGCTCAGGGCGTAGCGCAGGGATCGGACATCCAACATCAGGCCATTCACAATCGACAACCTTGTCTGTCATGAACGCGCAGCCAACCTTCAGGCCTCGCCGTGCGCCCTCATGAGAGGACGAAGCTGGCCTGCCCATCACGCTGGACACAGTGGACGCCCTTGCCGTCGTTGAGGCTGGCAGCTGCTCAGGGGGGGGGTGACTGTGCAATGCTGAATCCTGCCCCCCCCCCCCCCCCCCCCCCGGCGGCAGCTCGACAGGCCGTGAAACCACGAGTGCGGGCCACTCGACAGGGTCCAGCACGCTGCCGCTGCCGGCCTCGCCGCCGCCTCCAGTGCCGCCTGCCTGCAGCCGTCGCAGCGCCGCATCCGTGCCGGCCAGCTGGTCCACCGCCGTGGAGCGGTCGCGCGGTTGCCCCTGGCTTGGGGGCGGGCATGACGGGCGCTCCCAGAGCTTCCCCCTGCCCATCCCAGGCCAACGCGCCGCCCCTCCAGTCATCTGCGACCCCGCCCACGCTGCACCTTCACCTGCAGCGGCGCGCTTCCCCAGCCGAGCGCCGACGGCGGCGCGCTGGTCCGCGGCGAAGCCGACGGCGGCGCGAGGGCCCGCGGCACTCGGAGGGCCCGCGGGCGCCACAGATGACTCTCCAGCAGGCACTTCAGCAGCTGCTGTGTCCGCTTCTGTTTCCCATGACGACGCGGGCCTGCCCCATTCGCTGTTTACTTCGTGGGTGCACCAGGGGGCAGGCTCCAGCAAACACCTCGGCAACTGTGCCCAGCCCCTCTCGCTGTTTACCTCTTGGGTGCCCCTGGGGGCTGGGACTTGCAGTCTAGTGTAAACGAGGCTACGCCCGCTTCTGACGCATGGCAGCTGCCGCCTAGATCTGAGACTGCAGCTTCTTCCTGGCTTATTTGAGAACTGCTCTTGCGGCTTCGACGGCTTCACCTTCGGCTCGGGCTGCTCTCTCTCTCTCTCTCTCTCTCTTTCTTTCTCTCTCTCTCTCTCTCTCTCTCTCTCTTCAGCTGCGCGAACCTGCTCCGCAGCGCATTCGACCAGCTGTTCGTCTGATTCGCCGAATTCCATCTCCACATCATCTGACGGCACAGCAGGAGGGAAAGAAACACTATTGCGGGCAGCCGCCGCTTGGGCCTCCAACGTGCTAAAGAGCGCCTTCAAGTGCTCGCTCGCCTGCTCGTCGCCCCTCCGAGAGCGAAACCATGCCTTGAACCCGTCGGACGTCGTACCCGTCTGCTGCTCTTCCATCCTGAGAACTGGTCCATCGGCGCAGGCCACCGACTTGGCGAAACTCTCGTTGGTTTCTTGCTCGAGGACTGCGACTTGCCGCTTCGCCTCCCCCGCCGCCTACTGAGCGTTGGCGAGACGCGTATCGAGAAGCATGTGCGCCTCCTCGGCTCTTGCTTGACGGCCTCGAGCTTGGTCTCCAGCGTAGTAGCGTTCCCACGCGCCCGGTCCAGCCTGGATGCGATGCAGTGCTGCTGGATGTGGAGGGGCTCCGCTTCGTTGGTAATCTGCTGAAGCTTGGCCACCTGCTCCTCCGCCAACGACTTGTCCTCCTGGTGCGTGGCAACCCTCGCAGCCTTCTGCCAGTCGGCCTAGCGTTCCTTGGTGTCCTTCTGCTCGTTGCTGGTCGTGGCTGCGGGCTCCGTTTCCGTCCTCCATGGCGGCGGGGAAGATGGGGCAGAGGCGGGCTTGTCGAGCCTATCGAGGCGACTGAGAATCTTCTTGACCGCGGAGTCCAATGCAGGCGGCGCGCCCGCGCTCCACTTTCCCTTTTGGCCAACTTCGGTATTGACTGAGGGGCCGCCGATCCACGCGCACATTTGACACGCGACGCCCATGTTACCTGAGCGGTGGCACCCACCGCGGCTTTTTTGGGCCCGCGAGGACATCCTTCGAACTCATGGGCGGATCGAATGAAACGAATTGGCTCCCACAGGAGCTTACAAAAACGCACAGTGGGCGAGGCAGCGCTGCCTACCTGCCTACAAAGCAAAAGGCTGTCCTGGCCAGCTGCCTTGACGAGATGGCAACTTGAACCAAAATGGCTACGGACTACCTCCTCCTCCTCCTCCTCCTCCTCCTCCTCCTCCTCCTCCTCCTCCTCCTCCTCCCCCCCCTCCTACTTATGGTAATGGTGGTGGCAAATGAGCCCATCAGCCTGCGGGCGTGCCGGGGCGCAGGCCCAGCGGCCTGCGGACGCGCGCGGGAGGAGAGAAGGCCGACGGAGGCTTCGCCAGGGCGGCGCGAGCGTCGGCCACGCGCGAGAGGGGGCGAGGAGCAAAGGCCGCGCGGGGGTCCGCCATGGCGGCGCGAGTGCAGGCTGATGAAGTGGCCGGGAGTACAGTCGAGTTCGATTGGAGAAGACACGCGACAGGACACGAGACCCTTCCGAGGGCCAACTTGACCCAGGCATGCAGAGGATACAGGACGGGAGCGCACGGGACACGAAGGCACCCTTGATTTGGCAGGGTCGACCTGCTAATCAAACTCGACTGTAAGGCAGCGCGCGGTGGAGAGAAAAAGCTGCAAGCGCCCCCGTGCGGCCTGGAGGGCCGGCGTCTCTTGGCACAAACGGCTTGGGCCAAAACGGCTGCGGAGGTGGGCCGCCAGCGGCAGGCGGCAGCGTCGCTTCCCCTTCCTCCTCCTCCCGCGGTGTCCTTCTGACCCAGAGGTGCGCACCCCGCAGAGCAGCATGCAGACCGTGCCTCTTCCCTTCCCCCCCCCGCAGGGTGAATCTTCCGCGCCCCTTCTCATTCTGGAACTCCTTCGGACTCAGAGGTGCGCACCCCGCAGAGCAACATACAGACCGTGCTCCTCATCTCATCTCATCACATCTCATCTCATCTCATGGTGGCACGGATATATTCAGACATTGCCATGCCCCCCCCCAGGGGCGGTCGCCCCTCTGGGTGTGTGTGTGTATGTGACCAGACTAGCTTGAGAGGTAACAAACCCCGGTGGGTCACCGGCAGAGGGCTGTAACATCATGTCGGATGTAAGCGACAGCAAAGCGAGTAATTCCCTCTTCCTCCTCCTCCTCCTCCTCCTCCTCCTTTCCAGAGTCTCTTCGACTCTTCAGTTGGCTCCCCCCTCTCATCTCCCCACAGCCAGGGCTCGCGCGCAGAGCCGCCGCGACCCACCCGCGTCCGCCCTTGGTGGCGCCGTCCCTTTCGGAAGCACCCCACTGGAAAACGTCAGGAGCGGGAGGCAGGCGACCCACTCCTGATCGTCCTCCCTATCACCCCCTGCTTTTTTAAAGGGGGTTGGCTGAGGCTGGTGCGCTCGCCTGTGGGCCGCCAGCCCTGCGGGGCCCGCACGGCCCCCTCCTCTGGCAGACTCCTGGCAGGGCCCCGTGATTACCGCCCGCTGCCTCCTCGTGATTGAGCGTCGTTTAACCGACCGTTGCGTCGGGTTGGCCGTGGGTCTGAGAGCTCTTCTGAATGCCTCTTCCTCCCCCTCCCCGCCTCAGCCGGCCCTCCCCTCCCCCCCTTGTGCCTCCAACTGTCTCACACAGCACACAGTGTCGCCGATCCGTCTCCGGAGAAGCACAGCGCAGGAGAAGGAAGCATCCCCATGGGCGTGGCCTGGGCCCACTTGCCGATCTGCCCCCCGGGATGGGCAGATCGGCCGCTGCCCTCCGGGTTCCGAGGGGCATCTCCCCGACTGGGGTGCTGAGATGGTGGGGGGGTCTGGGTGGGGATGTCGGGTCGGGCGAAAGGGGGGGATAGCAAAGGGGGGGTTTGAGAATCAGCTCCCGTAGCTGATTTTCCCGGCGCCTCCCGGCGCCAGGAGGCGCCCATGTATCGAGGAATGGGCCCGGCGGCGGGGCCGAAACCAGCTGCATGCAGCAGATTTCGTAACCCCCCCTTTCCCAAACCCCCCCTTTCGCCCGACCCGAGGATGGGGGTGGGGGTGGGGGTCGGTTGAACGATGCTCAATGATTCACCCGTGCTGCCCCCTTCCTCCGCCGCGCCGTGCCGGCCACATGTCGGGCCCGCGCCTGCACTTCTTTCTGACACCTATCCTTGCCTCCCCACTGCTCGTCCTTCCCTCCTCCCTCGCCGGACACTCCTCCTCCGATTCGTCCCGACCGTGCGAGTAGGGGGTCGACTACAGAATTGATTCACCCCAGCAGAATCGATCTACTCCGTCCAATCCACGACAAAAATGCGCAGAGCGCTCCGAAGATTTACGGCGCACTCCATACATCTGTCGCAGCTCCTGCGGGGAAAGCAAGCCTGGGGCACACCCACTCTGCAGTCGATCCCCGTCCCCCCTCTCCGCTGGTCGCGCCGTCCCTCTCCGCCGTGCCGCTGCCCTCGCCCCCATCCGCCGTGCCCTGCCCCCTCCGCTGGGAACCGCCACCGCGCCCTGCCGGCCATCCCTCCCGCGCCCCTCCGCCGTGCCCCGCTGGACCGACCAGACCCCCCGTGGCCTTCCGCAGCGCCTGCCGCGCCTGCTCACGCGGGTGCTGGTCGTCGGAGTCGACCTGGCCGGCGCGCACGCGGGGGGGCGAAGCTGCCAGGCGGAGCCCCGTGATAGACCTCGAGAGACGCGAACACATCGAGCGAGGGCTTCTTCTGCGTGTTGGGTCTTCGGGACACGGTCTCCAACGCCCCGTGGCCGTCAAGCGAGGACTCAGGATGAGAAGCTGGTCCAAGGGAAGTGTCGAGACTCGAGAACCCGCTGGCCCCGCTGGGCGCGCCAGGCTGTGAGGTCGTCTGCTGGATTGATGTCTTCGGTCCTCTAGCTACTCAGAGGGCCTGCGACGCCAGAAAAAAACACACGGGGGGGGCTCCCTCAGACTCCCGGATGGCTAATCCAGGTTGCCCAACAGGACTCCCATTGCCCCCAAGGTGGCCCGAAGATCCTTCAGATGTCGTCGCGCCGTTTGTTCCCAGCGCGCCCGTTGGCGACGCCGACACAACGGCAAACGCACGGCAAGCCCTGCGTCCCGCGCCCCAAGTAGACGAAGCCGGCACCGCGGCAAACCCACGGCAAAGCCGCTGCGCCCGAGGCGGAGGTTGCCCTGGTGGCCGCGGCGCCCTCCCCAAGACGTGAGGCCGCGCGTCGGAACAGACGGCGCGGCGACAGATATCGAGTCGTCGGATGTAGGAAGTCCGTATGGCGCGCAGGGAACCGCAACCGCCACACAACTGATGGGCCGATGTTCCACCACCGCTACCGTAGGTAGGAGAGGGATGAGGAGGAGGCGGAGCAGGAGGAGGAGGAGGAGGAGGATCCTCGGAGGACCTCCCCATCCTCTCTTCTCCCCCGTGCTGCCCATGGTAGCGGCGGTGGAAAAGAAGACAATCAACAAGGGCCACCTTACGCCCTTGTCCTCGCGAGCCCGCGGCCAGCATGGCGGGCCGCCGCGAAGCCGCGGGAGCCTGTTGAGCACGCGCGACTTCTGGTGGGACGCTGCAGCGCCGGCGATCCACCCTCGCTCAGATTCTGGTCCTGGGACGCGTCCTGGGCACCATCCCGGCAGCTCTTCCGAGCTGCGTCCAGCCATGGCCACGAACGAGGGACCCCAGAAAGAGGAAACATGAGATCCGGCCCCCGGCCACCAGGCTGTAGTGGCAGTTTCCTGTACCCACAGTGTTACAGGTTACTGTTAGGACCTAGTTGATTCAGCAGAATTTCTCGAAATCGACACCCCTCACGCAGTCGGGGTCAGGGTTGATTTATTTCTGAAATTCGGTGCCACCCCTCACGCAGATCCGCGGGGTCAGGGTCCAAAAACACACATTTGCCACATTTCTGAAATTCGGTGCCACCCCTCACGCAGATCCGCGGGGTCAGGGTCCAAAAACACATGGGATTTGCCACATTTCTGAAATTCGGTGCCACCCCTCACGCAGATCCGCGGGGTCAGGGTTCAAAAACACATGGGATTTGCCACATTTCTGAAATTCGGTGCCACCCCTCACGCAGATCCGCGGGGTCAGGGTCCAAAAACACATGGATTTGCCACATTTCTGAAATTCGGTGCCACCCCTCACGCAGATCCGCGGGGTCAGGGTCCAAAAACACATGGGATTTGCCACATTTCTGAAATTCGGTGCCACCCCTCACGCAGATCCGCGGGGTCAGGGTCCAAAAACACAGGGGATTTGCCACATTTCTGAAATTCGGCGCCACCCCTCACGCAGATCCGCGGGGTCAGGGTCCAAAAACACAGGGGATTTGCCACATTTCTGAAATTCGAACCCATCACGCACATCCATCGCAAGGCGTGGTAACCCAAACTGCGAGAACTCCCTCGGCCCTTTAATCGCAAGGTGTGGTAACCAAGCCCTTAAACCATACACGTCTTACCAATCGCCAGGCGTGGTAACCCCTCTTGTGATCAGTTGGTTTTGCTGATTGCGACTCGGCTTCGCATGAAGTTTCGATACTGCTTCACGACAGCGCCAAGGCCTCATGACTTAGCTCTTCCATGGCCCATTCTCCGAGAGAGGGGGCCGGCGGCAGGGGGCGAAGCCCTTACGGATAAAAAGTTTCTCATGCTCGTTGTAAGTCGAATTATGCGAGGGTTGGGGGCGCCAGGCTCTAACCGGACCTGTCTCGCCGCTCTGCGCACTACTTCACGCGATCCTGGACCAAAACCCGCCACGGGGCATGCGACTGGGAACGGTCGGCCAGACCCGAGTCAACGAAAAGGCTCGGCCAACAGGGGGGAGGGGCGGGCCGTGGGGGGAATGGGTGCGAGGCCGAGAGATCCATATCCACCGCCTGAGAAACCGACGTCTTGGAACCCCAGCGGGCCTCAGGCGGTGGTTACGAATCAATTCTAAACGCTTGGCGTATCCCCACCAGCCCGTCCAGAAATGAACCCCGGGAGCGGAGGTGATGAGGGAAGCGGGGGGGCATGCAGAAGAACAAAGGGCGGGGTAAGCCGCCATATGCCCCAACAGGGGGAGGATGTAGGAGGAGTCGTCGTCGTCGGAGTAGGAGGAGGAAGAGAAGGAGCAGGAGGAGGAGGGGGAGGAGGAGGAGGAAGATGATGAGGAGGAGATGGAGGATGGCGAGGACGTGGAGGACGAGAAGGAGGAGAAGGAGAAGGAGAAGGAGAAGGAGAAGGAGAAGGAGCAGGAGAACGAGGAGGAGGAAGAGGAGGAGGAGGAGGAGGCGGAGGAGAGGGAGGGGGAGGAGGGAGGAGGAAGAAACAGAGGAGAAGGAGGAGCTATGGCGCTATGGCGGACGCGCGGTGCCCAGGTGCTGGCCTGGCCGCCCCACCACAATCACCGAGGGAAGGCCATTCCCGACTTTGGCGGGAGCCCCCTCTCCAGTCGCCCCAGTGCCTCCAAACCCTTCTTGGTCGGAGGCCTGCACTCGCTTTTCAAGTTGCGGGCACTGGTGACCGCAAAACTACCACATACAGTGCAAAACAGAACGCCACTCAACTCAGATAAGGAATGGGTCTCGTGGCAGTGGATGGCCATGGGATGCGCAGCGGGCCCAAAAGCAGCGACCCCAGGGCCCACAAAACCAGGCTCCTCATCCTCACGAGGCACGCGGTACTGGGCAAACCGCCCAGCGCTGCAGGGGCCAGGCCAGAAGACAGACAGTGGCCCCTTCTTGCTGAAACGCGCAGAACAGATACTACACTTGAACAGAGTCTTTAGCTCAACAGGCGAATGGCCCTGCTCTTCGAGACGCCCACGTCTGATCTGTGCACTGCTCGCGCCAGCGCGCGTGCGCACATGCTCATGCCCAACACGCGCGTACTCAGTGCGCTCTCGCGGGTATTGCACCACAACTTCACGCTGGATGGCTAAAAGCCTCCGAATGATATCCCTATTTAATATATCCTGCTCAAGCGTGATGGCCGCCGTTTCCTGGGGGACAGCCGCTCGACGGGCCATCTCCCCAGCACAGGCATCGGCGGCTCCATTCAAAAGCCGTTCAATCGACGTGAGACAGAGGGCGCTGACCTGGGGGCCTGTGGGGTGGCTCTTGGTCCAGCGGAGGTCGATATCACCTTCTCGGGCGTCAAGGACTTCCCAAAGGCGAACCCAGAGGTCCAGCATCTCAGACTTGGCCAGCAAGGCCCGTGGACGCCGGAAAGCTCGCACAACAGGAAAATAATCACTGAACACCAAGATACGCCCATACGTATACTGACACACATAAATCAACGCGAGAAGTTCAGCACGCGGGCAAGACTGTTCACCTCCCAGGGTCCCCGCGATGCCCCCATCGATGTTGTCCAGGGTGGTACCTAGTCTAACGCAGGCCCACCCACAACGCCTTAGTCTCTCATCCTTAGCGTGCTCCCCCCCCGATCCGTCGATTCCCCAAACGCCCCCTTGGCAGACAGGCAACTCATCGAACGATCCCCAACCAATGGCGCTTTCAATCGCGATCGGCAGATGTCCAACCGTCCTGTCTAGAGGCATAAGGCCCCGACACCAGAGGGCAGGGCAATCAACATCACGAGCAGCTTGCTCGCGGAGGTGAGCTGTACGCTCCACAACTGGATCTGGGATGGAATCATTACACCTGCAGTCCCAAAACCTGTGGAAGGGGGTCTCGCAAACCTCCCCGCAGCGCGGGCAAATACCTTTAGAAACCGCGTGGTATCCTTCATCATGTAACCTCTGTTCAGTCCAGAAGCCAGCAGAACAAAGGTTCCAAAGCAAAGCCTGCCCCTCGTAATCTAAGTCTTTCCCCAATCGATTGGTCTCCTGTTTGAAGACCATGAAATCAACCCCCGAAGCGATTCCATACCCATGGTAATGCTTGGCAGCCTGGCTCCAGACCAGGCCGCTGCACGTGGCCTTAATAGCGCGCCGCAAGGTCACAGCAAAATCCGGGGCCTCCGTGTAGAGGTCGTTGCCAAAGTTATCTCGCCAATGCACAGGACACAATGGGCACCAGCCCAGATCAAGCAAGACAGCAACAGTAGCGGCGATCGGCCCACGGACCCGTTTCCAAACCTGGTTCCTGGGGATACTGATGTACTCCTGAAACCGAGCCTGCCAGACCTGGGAAACACGCAGCTTCTCCTTATCAGTAAGGGATTTCCAAAGAGTCACAAACCCAGATAGCTGTTCACGCCGCAAACGAAAAATAGGATCATTCTTCTCGGCCCCGAAGACACTCAGGATGGTGGTAGAGCAAGCTCCAGCATGCCAGTGGCCAGAGCAGACAGCGGCCTGCCCGCGCGCACTCTGAACTTGGGCCCCAGAGAGGCCAGCAACATTGTGGCCCCAGGTGCCTACAGCGAGCACGCCTGGTTTGTAGAGCTTAGACGATTTCTTGACCAGAGTTGTCAAGTAGCGCACTTTCTTACCTCGAGCTGCGGCCTTCCGCCGCCTGGCACGAACAATGGCAGCAGTCCTCCTCCTTCCTGCCGTGGTAGCAGTACCCAAATCACGTGTAACATCTTCAACCCTGACAGGGAGGCCTGCTGCTTTCAAATCAGTAGCAACAAGAAGTGCAAGAGGCCGTCGGTTCGCGACAACCGCAGACTTATTAGACAAAACAAGCTCGGCTGCATCAACCGAATGGCCTAGCTGAACTGCTGCGGCAACAATCTGCCGTCGGACCTGGTCTTCAGTTCCCTGGCACACCTGGGATATGTCGTCAACGTAAGACCTGGTAGACACACTGGGATTCCCAAAGAAGTACCGATTATGCACATCATCCAATATCTGATATAGATACACCTTGACCCAGGGCATAGACTGCATACATCCCGGGAGGACGCCAATCCCAGCAGGTATGATCTGGGAGCAGAAGCCGCTACTCTCGAGCATCCTGGAGGCCACGTGCACAAGGAGGCCCAGGTGCAGGAGGTGCGGTGGGAACCTCAAAGCAGTGGCGAAACGCACAAGCCTAGCAGGGATAACCGTATCAAAGAATTTTTTGAGATCCCAATGGATCGCAACGCTGGAAACTTCCTGGAAGGTAGCAATCTCATGAGAAAGCTCTCGGCGAAGCGCAGCTTGAAGGGCGGAACTGCCCTTGATGGCATCATCCCAGAAGTCAACATGGTCTTGACTCCAGGCCGCCAAGAAATCCCCGCGAACTTTCCAGTAGATGCGGTAAAGGGTGGGGCATTTGCAAACGGGGCGCTCATCAACCTTGCTTTTGGGAAGCAAGCAAATAATACCAAGGAGGGTTTGGGCAGGCCACATCATATTGGCCTCACAATCATTCAAGAGCCCGACGAGAGCATCGGCGGCACCAGACTCCAAGTCCAGAAAATCCCGAGGCCTCCATCCGTCCACCCCAACCGCCGTGGTTTCAGAGAAGACCCTCGCAGCGAGGTGGAGGTCTCGGGTGGTAATTTCGGGAAGCTCGGGCAACAAATCCAGCGCACTCACACGCAACTCTTCCAAAGCCCCAGTCAACTGTCGAATCTGGATTGGGCTGGCAGTCCAAAACCCACCCCAGATTTTTTCACGGTGAGCCATCATCTCCTGAGGGAGCTGGAGGATACCCTCAGGGGCAACAAAAAACTCTAACCCCTCCTGCTCTTCACGCCTGAGCCAGGCGTGAGCTTTGGAGGCACCTCGGGGCAGCGCCTTCAACAGCCAGTCCTTAATCGCCTTAGCTGCTGACGCGCGGGCAGCTTGCCAAGCCTTAGAGAGGACTGCCGTGCAACGATCTATCATCTCCTGACATCGGTCCAGATCAACCGATTTCAAATCACAAAGCTGAGCCTGCCACTGGTGGGCAATCTGGTCGGCAGGAAGACACTCGCAATGCTGTGGGACTCGACGTCCAAGTGCTCCCAGCCGAGAAGAGATGCATATTAGCATACGACCATAACCTTTCTTAAGAGCAACGCGCATCTCATACAACTTCTGGGAGACAGTGGACCAGTAAGTAAGCATCGGCTGGGCAAAACACCCACTTCGCCGGGCATGATCAGTAAGGGTAGCATGTCGGAAATCCACAAAATCACCCCGGCCTCGATAAACCTCCATATCCTCATCATCCCCAACAACGACTGACATCATCATCCTCTCCTTCGTGCGAGACCATAAGAGATAAGACGAGGTCAGCTCGTGAGAAAGGTGGGCCTGGACATGAGGAAGCTGAGGCTGTAGTGCTGCTTGTGGTGGAGTCCACTCCGCCAGTTCAGCATTAAAGTGGTATTCCCAGGGTAGCACAGGTCCTTCATACTCAGGCAAGACTTTTGGCCGCACACGCTTGGTCATCTCCTGCAACAAGGCAGCATGCGGCAATCAGACCTCAAGGCAACAGTGAGTCTTAAAGGGGGAGGCCTGGTACTTGGACGCGCGCAAGTAGGGAGCCAGAGTATCACTGGCAATCACATAATCAATCAAAGACCCACCGCCATTGCTGCACGTGAAAGAGACACCTGCAGGAGGCAAAGCTTTCGCACGAGTCATCTTCAGAAAGCCACATACTTCCATGTGATCCAGGCCTATGTTGTAGTCCCCCATCAGAAACCATGGAATAGTAAGCGTGTTCACGAACGCTGTGATTTCTTTCATCTTCAGGGTGTTTTCCCCCGAGACCCCCAGGTCAGCTATCATATATACAACGCCAACGGCCATCACACAGGATTGGGTTCGGAGCTCCAGAAACATCCAGCCATTGCCAGCACCTACGTCCCGAATTTGGCCAGCATGGGCCAGAAAACGTTTGAAAAACAGGCCTTTGTGCACCGCCGCTCCTACACCACCATGGGCCCCGCCGCCAGGAGAGGGCGAGGCAGGGAAGAAATGGGGGCGCCACCCAGCGGTGGCCACATCACGCTTAGCCGACTTCAAATCGGCGGGGAGCTGGCGGTGTTCAGCGATCATAAAGGCGTCAGCCTTACCATGCAACTGCGAAACGAACGATTTAGCCAGAGCACTCCAGCTAGTTATGTTACAGAAGAGTAGGCGAAGCCCGGACTCACTAAACCGGCGGCGGCATCTCCGCGACCGCAGCCTTGAAGAGCTCCTTGAACCCGGCACCAACTTCACGCTGCACACGTCGCATGCGCTTCGCTGAGCGGGTGTGGGCTTTCTCGAACATGAGGTCCTCCATGCGGGTCTGGTCGGCATCAGCCATTGCACCTTCCATAGAGCGTTTCTTGAGCGCAGCCAATTCTTCAGCACGCTCTGGGGGAAAATCACCAGCCTCAGAACCAGCATCACTTCCAGCGTCAGACTGGGCACTGTCGTAGATCTGCTTCTGCATCTCCGCGAAACGTGCCACCAATCCGTAGGGAAGGTTGTTGACCTGGCAATACTCGCGAATCTGGGCCGCACCCATAGAATGTAGTTCAGGGATGTCAAAGTCCATGCGTGGACCCGGAGGTACAGCAGCAGGTGGCGCTCCACCAGGCGCAGCTGGGCGACCACCTGCGGGTGGTGCAGCACCTCCACCAGGCGGAGCATGCTGCGCAGGCATCTGCGGGGCTGGGGCGGGGGCGGCCGCATGGGCCGCGCGAGCAGCCCCGGCCGCCGCTGCGGCCTGCGCATGCTCCTGCCGCTTGGCATGAACCCACGCTTCCTGAGAGAACCGAGCAACAGTGTCATCGGCATCGCGCTTCTTTTGCTCAGCATCACGATACTCACCTTCAGCTTGTTGATGTTGTTCACGCGCTTCACGAAGCGCTTCCTCCAACTTTTGGACCTTGTTGGCACGGTGGTGCACCTCCTGTGAGGCCAGGCGCACCGCTTTGGCGAAATTCTCCACCTCCTGCGGAGGAACCATTCCACCAAGAACATTTTGCAAGTCGGGGCGTGCAGCGAGCAGAACCGCAGCTGCAGCACGTAGTTGAGGGTCTCCATCGGGCGCACCTTGTCCGTTCCCTCCAGCGTCACCACCAGCGGGTTGGCCACCATCTCCTTGTTCAACATCACCGATGTACAGTCCGCCACAGCGGGAGCAGCACCAGTTGCCGTGGTACTTGAAGTCCCAGTGGCGACAAGCGGAACAGAAATCATACTCTTGATTGGAGGTTCTGGCAGCCTTCTTCTTATTGCTGCCACGCCCCCATCCAGCATTACCACCACGTCCGCCGCGCCACGGGGCACTGCCGCGCCAAGCCATGGCACGAGCACGAGAGAAAGGAGAAATGGAAAGAAAGGCACGCGCAGTGTCGTGTTTGCAAAGATGGCCACCTGCTGGCCGCACGCTGGTCGAGGCAGCCAGGCCTGCAGAAGGGGCTGCCCTTCCACCTCGGCCTCGAGCCTCTGGAGTCGGGACGGGAGGTAAGCTCCGTCTTGAGCCAAAATGGCTACGGAGAGGAGGAGGAGGGGGAGGAGGAGGAGGAGGAGGAGGAGGAGGAGGAGGA